TGACGCCACAAACAGATGGCATGTGACTTAAGTGCGTGCATAAGGTCTATACTATACTAATATCATAGATGCTGCATAATTACTAAAAACAGAAAATTTAGATTTAGCTCTGTTAAACTGTGGGTTCAACATGTGAATGTTTTAAAACCTGCCTCACGTATTAAAACTCTTCGATATATATAACGTTGTCCTTCAATTCAGGCAGTTTACTGCTGCGAAGCACATAAGGTCCGACTTCACACGTTCCTTAAAGTAAATACTGGAGTTCACTTCAGTGTGTTCCTATAGAGTAATCCGCTGAAAAAACATATCACATTATGGAATGGTGTACAAGATATTCAAGACATGTAACAACATTTCCTTCACCTAATACATGGATTTCTGCGTCTTTGTTCAAACTATTTAGTATCTAGCTGGATTTTATTTTCAATCTATCTATCCAATATTTTGATTTAATATATATATTGTTTCTTTTTTACTCCTTGGTAATTTCGTAATTTCATACGCTTCTGAATAAAAATAAATAATGTTTATTATTAAGCATAAAGCTACACAAAGGGCTATCTGTCCTCTGCCCACCACGGGTATCGAAACCCGGTTTCTAGCAGTACAAGTCCGCAGACATACCGCTGTGCCACTGGGGAGCAATAAATAATGAATTAAATTTAGTTTTCACATTCGTTAATTTCTTGTTTTCAACTTTATTAACTTATTCTTATTATTCCACAAACATGAATTTTTGTTCTGAAATGTGAATGTTGAGGGTTAATCCAATTTTACAACAATGTTAAGGTCACATGCTGTCCTTGAAACTATTTCCTCCACTGTTGATCGTACTCAGTGCAGTCCGATGACCATGTTTATGTACTGCTGCTCAATAATTCAATTTTTATTGTAACAAGCGGTTCTGTGAAGGACGATGAGGTCAATCTTAAACCATAAATCTTGATAAACTTTCTGTAGACCATCCAAGATCCTGTTTAAACAGATCAAGGTACAAAAGAACTGCATTAGAGAACTTGAAAACGAATGTGGTCGAACAGGTTTGTTGTTATCATAGTTTCTCCAGCCGGCTTTTTTTTTATGAAAATAGCCAAAAATTTCGAAATGTCACTGAAATCGTAAGAATTTATGGTTTCAGAACTTTTCCACTTTAAATCCTTGTTTATTATCTAGTTAACGGTTCCAAGAGAAATGCCTAGCTACAACACATTTTGTTTTTGGGAGGGGGGTGGAAAATTCTCTTTAGTAATCATACCATTCAATTTACAAGTGAGGACTTTGCCCAGGATTGATTTGGAATGTGGTTTTGAAATCAATTGCTGTCAACAACGTTCTAGTGTGCAACGTTTATTTACTTCCATGAGAGTATTGAAGGCTTCCTTCTTTGAAATGTTGTATCATTTAGCTCCGTTTTTTCCGAACATTTATCAATACCGCTATACGAATATCCTTCTTTAAAAAGTGGTGTTGACGTATTCTTCCAGTCAGGAGTATATTCCGGTGCCATTATACTGTCGAAAATTCATCGCAAACATGTCGTCCGTGGCGACAGGACTCAAGTTTACAGCAATTGTAAACTTCATATACATACGCAAAGCGTTATTATAAAGCATGATTAAACAACATCTTAGAGTATAAATAATTTGAAATGTAAAATGTGTACTTACTAGCTGGAGTACCAATCCCCCGGATGGAAGTTATGTAAATTCAGGATAATGAAAGGTTATCTTAGGACATGAAAAGCTGCTTCCCTTATATGTAATTGTAGAAAAACGCAAAAACGCCAATAAAAACTGCAAAACCGCAAATTTGCACGTATCTCCGCATAGACCCAACACATCTTCATGCCAAATATGGCGAATATCCATTTATAGGGGGCGAAGTAGTGGTAAAAAACGCAAAACGCAAAATGCAAAACTGAAAATTAGTATGTATCTCCTTATGTACCCAACAAACCTTCATACCAAATTTGGTGAAAATCTATCAACAGGGGGAGAAGTAGTGGTAAAAAACGCAAAAATGTTTATAAAAACTGCAAAATGCAAAACTGAAAATTTGTATGTATCTCCAAATAGACCCACTAAACCTCCATACCAAATTTGCTGAATATACATTTAAAGGAGCGTAGTAGTGGTAAAGAACCCAATATGCAAAACTGTAAAAATGCAAAAATGTATCTTTCTATGGACCCAACGAATCTTTATGCCAAATTTGCTAAAGATCTATTTAAGGGGAGAGAAGTAGTGGTAAAAAACGCAAATAAACGACCATAAAACCGGAAAATGCAAAACTGAAAATGTGTTTGTATCTCCTCATGGACCTAATGAACCTCCATACCAAATTTAGTGAAGATCCATCCACAAGAGATGAGGTAGTGTTAAAAAACACAAAAACGCTCATAAAAACCACAAAACGCAAAGTGTAAAACTGAAAATTTGCATGAACCTAATGAACTTCCATACCAATTTTGATGAAGATCCATCCACACCTTGCGAAGTAGTTACATGGACATACAACAGACAGTACTATTATATATATAAATATATATAATAGTAGTAGTAATTACCACCATTTTTTACAATATATGACGTAGGTACAGCATTGGTGAACCAGCAAAATGGGTTACGTGATAAAAATACGTACTAAAATTAAGACTCCACGAGTTAAACAAGTCATTGTACATTTCGAAACTTGAAAATATCGCATTATATATAAAGCTCTCCCATAGTGAGGAAAATATTTTTGTGTATTGTGAAAATTCTGATACACTGTGGAAATCCTCAGAGTTGTAAAACAGATGGAAGGATAAAACTTAGTGAGATATGTCATTCATCATATAAAGAGCTATATTTGTGTTTAGTATATCTAGAATTCAATGTAAAGAAAGTCCTGAAGTTGTATTGTACACGTGTTTATAAATGTAGAACACACACGTAACAGGTGACAGTATTGAAATAATTTTCAAACACTACCTTTGTATACTACATGCTTAGGATTAATCTATTTATCCCTCCTATGGAGACATAAGTTTTATATGAATTACACATTCTTATGTTACACAGCTGTTCGTTCAATAGCCCATAGAAAAAGTATTCCAATGCGATAATACTGTTTTTTTACCTTCCATTTTTCAGATGCACTCCATTGATGCACCCGCACATTCCTTTGACTACAGAAGAATAACCTAAATAAACAGTGAGGATTGTATTACAACAAGAACGTTCGATATCGATACTATAATTATTGTATTGAATTTATTACCTTATATACGGTGAAAAAAAAAGTGATAAAAGATTTAATTTCACGCATAGTGTCAGTTAAAACTCCACACATTTTTCTAAGCCATAATATATTTCGCTTAATATAACGCATGCATTATCTCATAGATTTTTGACTGATTTAGACTTAATCCTTTTCTTAATGAAGTCTAAATCTATTACGCTAATAGGAAGCTCTTGTTAGAGTATTAACACAGATAACGTTAAAAATTGTCAGAATAACAAGGTTATGAAGCTTAAGTACAGAGTTTCATATCGCTTATACTGAAACGCTGTAAGTTTATGAAAAATTTTAACAAAACACACTACTGAGGGTTACTCGCACTTCATAAGAACAAGTTACAGGTCCAATTATTCTCTTGTAAATAACTCCGCCATGTCGATTGAACTTGGTGTAATAGGTGTGATTTTACACTGTTGCCTGGAGACACAAATACTATTACAAGAAGCTTCTGCGAAGAACAAAAGCAACAGTCTAGGTCCACACATCCTTACAAATTTTTGACCCAGTTCTGCGCGTGGACGTCAGTTTCCTAGAACACGTTTATACAGACCAGAGGCACTTAAGACTAACAGCTACATCGGGAAATTTGACAAGTACGTGATCACGAATAGAGCTGTTCATCTTATTGATGAAAACAGTCGTTGATGTTGAGGTTAGGCTGGAAGCTTTTGAACATTTGTCTTGAGAGCTTTGAGCCAACTTCAAAACCTTGTTTACTATATTGTCAAGAGCACCAGAAGATATGGCTAGATATGTTTTGTGTCTGAGAGTTCTCCTTCGCAACCATAGTCTTAACTTTGCGGATGAGGATATTTCTCCGTATTGGTTTGAATTATGGTTTCAGATCCGTAGCTTTCTTAAATGACTACTGTGTGAGGTTCTTGCTTCCTAGAGACCAATGAAGCTTTTTTTCTCGAAATATTGTGCACTTTGGCTCTACACGATTTAACAATATTTCTATACAAATATCCTTTCGTTGGATCTACATGGTTTAACAATATTTCTATACAAATATCCTCTCATTGGCTCTACATGGTTTAACAATCTTTCTATACAAATATCCTCTCATTGGCTCTACATGGTTTAACAATCTTTCTATACAAATATCCTCTCCTTGGCTCTACATGGTTTAACAATATTTCTATACAAATATCTTCTCATTGGCTCTACATGGTTTAACAATCTTTCTATACAAATATCCTCTCATTGGCTCTACATGGTTTAACAACATTTCTATACAAATATCCTCTCCATGGCTCTACATGGTTTAACAATATTTCTATACAAATATCCTCTCATTGGCTCTACATGGTTTAACAACATTTCTATACAAATATCCTCTCATTGGCTCTACATGGTTTAACAACATTTCTATACAAATATCCTCTCATTGGCTCTACATGGTTTAACAACATTTCTATACAAATATCCTTTCATTGGCTCTACATGGTTTAACAACATTTCTATACAAATATCCTTTCTTGAAAAGGTTTATGACAGACATTTCGCAAGCCTTACTTTCATCCGTGATAGAATTGCACTATCGAATGATTGAAAATTCGCCATGTTCCAAATATGTATGTGCTGAACATGTTGCCCGAGACGTAACGGCTTGCATCTGTGGTAGAACGCCACACTACATATACAATTCGTTCTCATAAATGCGATAAATATTGTATGTTCACATAAAGTAATATTTTTTATATCTTTTTCAGTTTTGGGAAGACTATAAATTGCAATGGGATCCGAGGGAGTATGGTGGTGTGGATATGCTACACGTGCCTTCAGATCACATCTGGAGGCCAGATATCGTTCTGTATAATAAGTAAGTGGACCATTTTCTAAGCTCTTCCATTTTTCCTCTTCTCGCCGTATTGATATGTCTAAGTAAATCTTTGTTCTCTTTCTGAAACACTTATAAAACAAAATATAAAACGAAAACAATAATATACTTTATTTTTATAAATCAAAGTTCTTTGTTAACTTTAAATAGTCAAGCAAATTACAAATTACAAATTTTTAAACTTTTGATTAGTTTATTGCATTATTCATTTTTTTTCATCAAGTCAAACTTCTAGGTTGTACGCTGAATGGCACGATCATCTTCAGTTTTTCGTCTTCGAGGTTAAACTTAGAAGTGTTTGGTATTTGAGAAGAAAAGCATCTTCTCTGCTAAAACAACCATTCAAATCAAAATTAGAGCTTTTAAACCTGCGGTTACTTCTTGTTGAACAATTCGTGATTTTTGTACAGTAATTAATGCCAGGATGATTTTGTATAGAGTTTTCTTTGTTACTCTCTCAAACATCTAATTGACCAAACCAGTACCACTTTTAACGAGTGTTGTTTATTTCAGTACAAATTTATGTTACCAAAGAATTATATTAAACTATGAAAAACGATAGTGTCTAACTGAAATAGCGTGTAAAGGAGTAACATTCTTGGGAGGAATTTGTATTTATTAAAAAGATGCTGACTAAACAGGAAGTTTATTTTTTATCCTCCTCCTCTAGTGCCGATGGTAACTTTGAAGTTACGCTAACAACTAAGGCAATGGTGAACTACCAGGGATTCATTGAATGGAAACCTCCAGCTATCTATAGAAGTTCTTGCATTATTGATGTCGAATACTTTCCTTTCGACGAGCAAACTTGTGTGATGAAGTTTGGCTCCTGGACCTACGATGGATTTAAGGTAAACTGGCCGAGGAATGAAAGTAAATATATGACTCCCTTGTATTAACAAAATGAGATAAAAATGTGAAGATTTCTTACACATTCAGAGATGAACACATTGCCTTAATCGCAGTAGACATCATTATTTAATTACTTTGTCCAGTTGCAACTGTTAATAAAATGTTAAAGCGTTCTTTTCGAATGAGCTAATCACATTCAATCAGCTCGTGTCGGAAGCCTCGTGAATTGTCAGAACATCAGACTGCTTAATGTTCACCAATAAACAGCCAAAGACTTCTACTGGTTGAGCTGATGCCCTGTATATACATAAAACGGTTACATTGATAAATCATCAATGATTTCTGCAGTTTCTACATTTAATCCTTATAACCAGGAGACATGTTTCATGGTATTGTTTGACTAATAAAACCTCAATCCAGTGAAGACTTGAAAGTTCTACTTCAATATATACTGTTTTCTTCTTCTATTTTCAACAGTTCAAATGTACCATAGCGTACATTAACCTGAGTTATATGGCTTAATTTCACATTCTGTTAGAGAGGATAATAAAGTCTAGTTAGAGTGACTAGAAGGTAGGCACACAGTATTCTTGATTTAATTTTCTTTTTGCTTCCGATTTGCACAAATACAGCGGAAAAAGAAAATTTATCTCTTGTGTCCTTAGAGATAACTCGAAAGCCTATTTTATCTATAAGTTTAAATTACAGTTAAAAAAGAGTAAATATACTGAAATAAATAAAAACAGTGAATAATTTTAAACTTCAGAGTTTCACTATGTGACAAATACATTTTACAAACATTGCTGTATCAGAAATAAAATAAAATGGTTGATTCGAGTCCTCATTTATCCCTGAATAACTGTTTTTAATGTGAAAGTTTACATAATCAGAATAATTACAGCTTATATCATACCTATAATAAATATAAACTATATTTTCTGAATCATATATATGTATCTATATCATTACTTATTAGGGTTTCTAAAAGGAAGAATTGTTTAGGTTAAAAATATAAATGAAAACGTTAATTTTCAAGCCATGAATAGAAGTTTGGCATGGACAGCTTGTTACATGGACTTTTTGTTACCAAGTTCCCAGTTCTAGGAAAGTTCACTACTGAACATTTCGTTACCTGTTCCAGTTACTTATAAATAACTCGTTTTGGCTAGACAACTATTCGAGGAAAGCCGAATCATTTTTAAAAAGTTCAGACCTTTCATCATTTTAAATAAAATGTTTTACAACATAACAGCCTTTTTTATATTTTGAAGGAGTGTTTGTCTAATGAACTAATATTGAAGAAATATTTACTAATATTTTACTGACTGGAGTGTTTGTCTAATGAACTAATACTGATGAAAATTTTTAATTTTATGCTCTTAAATAAGATATGTAAGGGAGATTATGACATGATATTATCAGGTAGCGAAATGACCTGGTAACGAAATACCCTAGTAACGAAAGGACCGGTTGCGAGCTTACCGCTAGTAAAATGTACGAGATCGAAATGTTCAGTAGTGAAATTCTACACATTTATGATGTTGAAAAACAAAAGTAATTTAATATTAATTAACCTAAGTATGTCATATATCACACTGTGTTGTAGCCTACAGAGTGCATAATCTTTCTCGTGATTCATGCGCACATTTTACTGACGTCACGACAGTATAAATTGCAAAGTTAAGTATCCCTTTTGTGACGTCATTTTAGTGTCTACTGGCTGACTGACAGACAACACATTACTGTATAGTAATGTGAGAGGTTAAAACAGGTAACTACTAGTTTGAAAAATATGAATGTTTTTAGCTCTAATACTTACTCTAATTTGAGTAAAAAAGAAATCTGTTAACTCTTCCAAAAACAACTGCAGTATATTTGAATTGCTTTAGCGCGATAAAGCACAATGACATTCACTACGTAAGCATTAGCTAATTATATTGATGTTCTAATCATATAGAACCTGAAACCAGAACACCGAATGAAAAAACAACAACAAACATTTGAGGCTGGTAACAAACTTTGTACCATCTATAAATAACGTTTAAACTATACGTCATTTACATAGTCGAAACTTCTGGGGATTTTTTTACCATCTTTTGTACAATATGTAAAACATTAACATTGTTGTAAAAGCAGTTAAAATTAACCCATTTGTCAAATTATGACAAATAAAAGAAACTACAATTTTTTTAAATTCAAAGTTAAGTTGTTTTTATTATAAAAGTATTATCTGGGATATAGAAATCCCTGAAATATAAACGATGTTATTATTAGTCATAATACAATATTTTTACCGAAAAATCTTTTAGTCACATTTTTGTAAAAGTAATCACAAGTACACATTGTTAACTTAGAAAACTGGTCGTTAAACCCCACGAGTATCTAATCATTTATTCTTCGTTTGATCTGTCAGGTTGACCTTCGACACCACGGTGAGGTATCAGGGACAAATCTCGTGGAAATTGGTATTGACTTGAGTGATTTTTACCTGAGCGTGGAGTGGGACGTCCTGGAAGTGCCTGCTGTACGGAACGAGAAGTACTACACCTGTTGCGACGAACCCTACATTGACATTACTTTCAACATAAGCATGCGACGCAAAACGTTATTTTACACTGTCAACCTCATCATTCCTTGCATGGGAATCTCTTTTCTCACGGTGTTGGTATTCTATCTTCCCTCAGACAGTGGTCAGAAAGTAACACTGAGTATTTCTATCCTGTTGGCTCTAACAGTGTTCTTTCTATTGTTGGCTGAAATAATTCCTCCAACCTCACTGACGGTGCCTTTGCTAGGCAAGTATTTATTATTTACTATGATTCTAGTGACACTTTCCATATGTGTGACAGTAGTGGTGCTGAATGTACATTTCCGCACAAGCTCGACACATCATATGAGTCCCTGGGTGAAGCGTGTTTTCATGCAAATGTTACCTCGTCTTCTACTTATGCGCAGACCATCGGATTCAGTATCTGAATCTCGGAAGGTAATGATACGAACCTGTAACGGAACAGAGCTCAGAGAATACAACTCACAAAACGATCCTTATAGTACAAGACAAAGCTGTGATGAGGAATATGGGTCTGAGATTAATTATCCAGGATGCAGAGTTCACGGGAACGGCGGGCATGTGCACGCATCAATGTCCAATCCAATGACTTCGGATCAAGCTGTAATGCAGGAACATGAGAGGTGTTCAGGAATCAGAAGGTTACATTTCTGTCCGGAATTTGAGAGAGCGATGGAGTCCGTGCACTACATAGCCGACCATACTAGAAGATATGAAGAACATATAAATGTAAGTTGTAAAGCTATTTCACTTTTGTAACACTAAGTAGTCTTTGAGAAAATCTCTGATCATGATTTCACCTATCTATCTAGCTGTCTGTATGTCTGCCTATCTGTCTGTCTATCTATCTATCTATGCCTGTAGATATACAAAGGTAATTAATACTGGCATTGTCAAAGTACACTACAACATAATATTTCATTACAAAAGTTATTACAAGTGAGTTTGTTTTATTATTAAGCACAAAGCTACACAATGGGCTATCTGTGCTCTACCTACCACGGGTATCGAAATCCGGTTTTTAGGGTTGTAAGTCCGCAGGCATACCGCTGTGCTACTGTGGAATATCAAACCTGAGCTTCAGTGACTATTTCCCCTGCTTCATGAGACAGAAGTTTAGAAGATATGATACTTAGATCTCGAAATTATGAGAATTGGGTAAAGAAATAGTAATAGTAGTTCATTGGGTCCATGGGAGATACATATACATTTTCAGGTTTGAATTTTGCGTTTTATGATGTTTATTGGCGTTTTTTACCACTACTTCGCCCCTTGTTGTTAGATCTTCACCAAATTTGGCACGAATATTTGTTGAGTCTATGCGAAGATATATGCAAATCTGCGGTTTCACATGTTGTGTTTGCAGTTTGTGGGAATTTTTGCGTTTTGTACAATTGCATATAAGGGAAGCAGCTTTTCATGTCCAAAGACAACTTTTCATTGATCATGAATTTACATAACTTCAGCTATTATACACAAGTAACGAATAAATGTACTGCGTTTAGTTTCAGTTTAATTATATATATATATATATAAAGAAAAGGATGCACATTCCTCGGTTTTCCAATGCTATTTATTATAAGCTATATTCCCGTCTTGAAAAGTTAAAATCACCTTTCTGAACACATCTTTACGCCAGAAAGGGCTATTATATACCCTTCCCAAAAATGGATAAATTTTCAGTGGCATCACACTACTTACGTAATGCCAAACAATGCCAAAATGTAGTTCTGGTACATTCCTTTCCAAGGACTTGCTGATTTATGTATTCAGAATCATTTTGATATAACTTACTCAACCGTGTAGATCTGACAATTGTACAGATGCTTCTGATCCTATTTGCCCAGAAATGTATGTTTTGAACAACTGAATTAATTGTTAGACATAACAATCAGTGTGAGATAATCTTACTTATGGTCAGTAAGTTTTTTCTTTCCATTTACAGGAAAAATCAAATACAAATCTTGTAAGAGAGAGATGATGAGAAATATCAATTAACGAATATAATCACGACTGTAGAGTGACAGTATTATGTGTTACACTGTGTAGAGAGAACAAGATAGCCTAATCTGCTTGTTCTTTAATGTTTTAGCAATTCTTGGTTTCATATCTCCTTAGGCTATCAGATTATTAATTAGAAACAGGGAGAATAGCTACTGAGAAGGAAACCTATGTACAAATTAAGGAAAATGTGCTAGCAATCATAGCTGTAGAATAGGGTTATTTTTTCTGCCTATTGCAGCATCGCATATGTTTCATTATGGAAGTTTTCATGTAATTTAGTTTATACTTGTCATTCAGTTTTGATGCAAATCCATGTCTTAATTCATCTTGAATCCACCTCTATATCAACAGACTACAGATTTGTCTTTACATATATATATAGTTTTTCTACCTCTATATATCGATCAGTGTATTTAATCAGTTATTTACCTACATATATGTTTATTTACCCATGTATTCATTATTTGTCATCGCACTATTCATCAGTTTCATCAGATATTTTTCTATATTTCTTTGATAGTTAGTTTAATAAAAAACAATGATTGTGTGGTTTTGTTTTTACGAGGTATAATTGTGTTAGCGTAACGCTAACCCATTGTTAAAAACTATTTCTACGATGGTTACTTGTTTCCTGTGGTTTAGTTTCCAGTTTAGTTCTTTACCACTAATGTATTTTAATACTACTTTAAAAACGTGTATTTTGATTGTTTATAATCCCCAGAAATGGGTAACATCCTAAGCTCAGATGATTGCGAAGAAGTTCAACTGAAAATCGTTTTAAAAATCTTACTCTTAAACACCATACATTTGGTAGGGATTTTCGAGGACTACCTATGCGTTGGTCTCCTTTCGTAAGACTTGATATTAAAATTAAGCATACTGCTGTTAACATGTTGAAAACATTCCTACAAAGTAAGAGTTTTTATTTTCAACCAATAGCTTGGAGCCTACTCATAAAATAAAGGACTTATTGAGTTTATTTGTAGGCTAATTGATTCACGAGAGTCATACAAAAATATGCACACGCTGTCAGCTCCAGGAAATAAGTTTTGAGTAATTTATAAAAACTATTTGCTTCCACCCTTGTTTAATGTTAAAGTTGAGAACGTATCATACATATTTTAAGTACCTGGAGATCCAAACGGCGAAGTTCCTTTCCAGACCCATAAATAAAAATACTAATGTTTTTACTGAATACTATTAAACAATGAAGAAATCGATTTGATAATACTAATAACTTTGACAAGGGCACGTTTCTCAGTCTGAAAAGTATTTGCTCTCTTGCTATCGAGGCAGCGCTCTGTTGCTAGTAGTAAAATTTGTTTATTTATTTTATAGCAAATCGAATCGAACCCTGAATTTTAGAGTTGTAAATCCTTAAACTAACCGCTTTCCCACCGTGAGACTACCAGCAGTAAAGTTAATATAATTTTAATGTATTTATAGACATACTAATTACAAGTCTAAAGAGGTAGTTATCTTTACTAGTTAGACCTCACTTGTAATACTATGTACAGTATTTGTTTCCTCATCTAAGAATGAATATTGACTTATTAGAAAAGGTGAAAAAAGAACGCTACTAGGATGATTTCAGGGACGTAGGGTTATTTTACATCGATAATCTAAGGTCTCCCTAATTATTTTGTATCTTACGTTAAGAAGGGTTAGAGGTGATTAAGGCCTCTGATTTCTTTGTGGTATATTCTGAACACATTAGGAAGGGAGGTCACAAGTTTAATATTCAAAAACAACAAGCTAGGCTTCAGTTAAGACAATTTCATTTTTCTAACAGGGTGATTGACTTATGAAATGAAATTTCGTCGGCAGTAGTGAAAGTTAACACTTCACGGGAGATTAAGAGGAGAATTGATAATTTTCTGAAAAAGTAAAGGGTTGGTTTAAAATGTTCCTTTTTCGAAGTATAGGTGTGTAAGGATAGTCTTGAAGGATCAGATGTTGTCCGTTGGTTAAGTTGTGCTAAAATACCATAACTTGAAATAATATAATTTTACGTAGATTCTTTGAAAGCAAAATGATGTTAGGAGAGGAAGAGGTTTTAACCAAAACGCGAATTTTTTTCTTCATTTTCCTTAAAGCTAGGATATAAAATAGCAAATTGGATAGGAAATACCAATCGTTACTAGTTTTTAATGATTTTATATTTTTTCGTCAAAAAGTACTTTTAATTACTGAGATTTTTTAAAATAATAAATGTTGATACTATTATTATTCTACACGATATTAATGAGAAATAATGTCTATGTTTCGTATTTCATATAATTCTGTTGGTTGGTTGTTTCGGAAGCTCGTGCAAAGCTGCGGAAGGAGTATCTGAGCTAACAGTTCTTAATTTTGAACTAACAGACTAGAAAAAAGGCAAGTAGTCAATAGCACTCACCGTCAACTCTTGTGTTGCTCTAATCAAAATTAGGATTACACTATGATTCGTATAACGTACTGAGGGCCTCGAAATGCAGAGGAGCTCTTTTTTCTTCTTCTTGTGTCAACGGGACGCGAGCCATGAACTTTTGGATTCACAGACATGCACGTTAACTACTAGGCCATGCCTGGCCACAGATATTTAAAATATTCTAACCTATATTTTCCCAAAGTTCCCACTTTCCTACCAGATCAAGTCTTATTAGTGCTTTTAAAAATCTTTAGAGGTCAAGTTGAAACAAAGGTTATTTATAGTTTATGTATTTTTGTTTGTACAAGAAACATGCAATAAATAATTACAGTATATCTTAAAACGCATTTAAAGAAACAAAAACAAATAGTAAATTGACTAATTATAAATAGACGAAAAGTTTTAGGTAAAGTAAGAGCAGCAATTTATTGTTGAACTAATTTGGTTAATTTACGGCCTCTGGTTAGGCATTATTTTTAGAGGGTGGGGACTAACTCTGTGGTAGAGCTGTGAATTTCATAGCTGGGGAACTTGTTCAAATACTTATGATACAATAAAATATTCCGAGCATTTTAAGTTATGAGTGTGTTATAAAAGAGACAGTCAGTTTCTTAGCCTGGATGGTAGGGTGCTGCTAATTGGCTGTCTTCCTTCTGCTCAATAGCTTAGAATTGAAGACGACAGCAGTTAATCTTAATAGCTTTGCCATAAATACAAAACACAAATATATTATTTTTGTGTGAAGGCTTTGATCGTCATTGGCTTTTGTTAGGATCTTAAGATAATTTTAATGAAAGATAACGTCACACTCGCCTAGTACGTGCTCCAATAAATTTTCATTTTTTATTCACTCGTCAGCTATCTTGTAGTGAAACCTTGCTTGCACCAACGGTAAGTAAATTAATAAATAGTATTTCATATTTTCAGTAGAGAAATGCTATCTTTATATCTAACGAAACACTGCAGAGCAGACAATACTCCGGTTTAAAAAAAATATATATAAAGTACTTTAAACATTTAAAGCAATTCACAAAGGCAATGACGTACGAAGTTTCGAAATGTTCAGTATGTTTAAACCAGAAATTACTATTTCTCCAGATATAGAGGTTATATTTCTTCATTGACAACATCAAATGTATTTTACCATTTAACTTGTCCTTGTTGTAAGCAAGGTTATATCGGTTATACTACAAGAAAGCTGCTGACGAGTAAAATTGCATACGTTTGAAAATGTTAAATAATGAAAACACATTAAAAACTGAATAATGTCCTCGGTGAATATGACGTTATCGTCCATTCAAATCATTTTAAGATCTAAACAATGACCAGTGATGAACAAAGACTTCGTATAATAAAAACTTGTTCATTAGAAAGCAGAGGCAGGAAGTTTGTTCGAGTCAATTCGGCATATAAATTGCTGCTCATGGGAAATTGACTTTAGGAATGTGATGATTTATTATAAATACACTTGGAAGTGTCATCGACGATATTATTAAACACGGACGAAATAATAGTTGTACAGTTAACTCACTACTCTATGCTGAACTTCTGCTCTAAAATAGAGTCTCACCGGCGAATTTTGGGTTTTATATCCTACAATAAATTGGTGCTTTTGGTTAACTTATGGAAAGATAGTATAGTAAAGAATTGATTGGGAATAACTTACATGTATGATTAACGGTTTATTTGTGAAAGATCGTTAACTTATGGAAAGATGGTATAATAAAGAATTGATTGGGAATAACTTACATGTATGATCAACGGTTTATTTGGGAAAGCTAGTTAACTTATGGAAAGATGGTATAATAAATAATTGATTGGGAATAACTTACATGTATGATTAACGGTTTATTTGGGAAAGCTAGTTAACTTATGGAAAGATGGTATAATAAAGAATTGATTGGGAATAACTTACATGTATGATTAACGATTTATGTAGGAAAGCTTTTTGCTTCTCAGATTGTTTGTTGTTAAGCATAAAGCTGCACAAAAGGGCTATGCGTGTGTTATGTCTACCATAACTAACGAACCCTGAATTGTAGAATTATAAGCTCTCAAGTTTGCCGCTAATCAACCAGCTCGTCTGTCCAAATCTTGAGTAAATATTATAAAGAATCAAGAAAAGCATCGCATTGGGCCTGGCATAACCTAGTGGTTAGGGCTCTAGACTCGCAATCTGAGGGTGGTGAGTTCGAATCCCCGTTGCCGGACATGCTCATCCTTCTTGACATACAAAAGTACCGGCCAACCCCAAGCTAGCTGAGATTAAGGTCGTAACGGGGAGGAAGAAAGAAAACATTGTACTGAAGATCAAGAAAAGCATCGTGCTGAATGCCTTATGTACATATTTAAAAAAACTGAATTCTCAAATGAGAATTATATTATAATAAAATTTACATTACGCGAATGAATAAACTCTACCTAATTAGTCTTATGAAGGTTAAATAAGCTGTTAACCCAAAGGAGTCAGTTTGTTCTGAAATGCTAAACAAGTAGATTATTTTGATAAACGAAATTGAAAAAAAATGAGACGAAATACATATATGAAAATTTTTAAGCTTCCTAAAAGTGCATACGTCATACTAAGCAACACATTGATACTCCTCTGAGCATGTTAAAGTAACGTACCAAATAATCTCTTAAATATATCAAAAGGAGAAGTTAATGTCACCTGAGAAAAGCATTGCTTAAATTCTTAGGATCTTTCATTTCTCATTATAATTATCGAAAAGTCCACCGATGGGTCAGCTGTAAGTTTACGGACTTACAATGCTAAAATCCATGGCTCGATTCTCCGCGATGGACACAGCTCATTGTGTAGCTTTGCGCTAAAACAACAACAGCTAGTTAAAAAGATATATTACGAAAACATGTTGGACATTTATCAAAACAATCTGGGAAAAAATTGACGGGGAGCGCTTTGTTTGTTTCAGAAATGTTTTCAAATCTGTGTCCTGTCCGTTTTGCTAAATTTAAGAATATAGCGATGAAAGACGATATGAATAATATTTAACATTATCTTTATATTTTTTTTCTTGGTCTGGTTTTAACACAAAAATATGTGTAAAACTTTAACTGATTGAACATTTATATAAGTTGGTGGATCCATTCGAATCAATCGTATGTAATATCGGGCAAGTTTTTATTTACAAATTTACAAATCTAGATCAACATCTGCTACAGATGTCATAATTTGATTTATAATAAGCTTTGGATTTAACTGGACAAGATTTTACTGTATATTCTTGATATTTTTGAATTTAGTCCGCATTTGACCCCTTGTGATTCAACGGCAAGTCTGCAGGCTTATGAAGTTAAAAATCGGGTTTCGATTCCCGTGGTGTGCAACGCACAGATAACACATTGTGTAGCCTTGTGCTTAACAACAACAAAGCCAGATCGTCCGCGTTTTGCGAATTTTGTTCGAATATTTTTGGCAAATGCCGTTTTTCTATGCCATATGTAACAGTTTTTAATGTCAGGTAGATAACATTTCTTGATAAAGCATAATATAACCTCGTACAGTAGTACAAGCCGTACATCATGTTAAGCTTAAAACCAATGAACTGATGGGGTAATATGGCCCATTCCTCCAATAGATTTGTTTCCAGTTCATCATCACTGTTTGGAGCCGAACCATGTGCTGCTAATACGTCTTTGCAAAGCATCACTTACTTGTTCAACCAGATATGAATTCGATTAATGTTGCCCGGTCCGTTCGTTTAAAGAGGGAGGTGGCAGTTCTAATCAGCTGAGTATGATTGGAGAGCGCATTATAAATCATTAAAAGAAAAGTCTGACCAAATACACTAACGGTTATGAGACTGCATTCTTATAACATACGATATTCATAGTGTCCTCTTTCAGGACGTATAGGTCACTGCGGTCATCAACACCAATTTCTGCCTAGACACGTATGCTACCAACTTCACATATGTGTTTTTCCTCCGACAAAATGTGACCTGGTCTCGAGCAACGCTCGAAATACGAACACGTCTTGTATCTGGTTGTAATGTGAAGCGTTATTTCTATGTGAGTATGACATTCGCCGAAACGTTAACTTACTTTAGATTTTTCCAATTTTTTTATTTTCAGGTGGAAAATTCGATAATTAAGACGAGTTTTATAATAATAATACTTACTATGATAGATATGTATATTGCGTTTATGCCGTATTGTTTGCTGTTCGTGAACTGACTCTCTAAATAAGTATTTGTTGTTGGAACAGGTAAAAGAAGACTGGAAGTACGTAGCGATGGTCCTTGACAGGTTATTTCTTTGGATCTTCACCATCGCAGTGCTTGTGGGAACATGTGGAATAATTTTACATGCACCAACCCTCTATGACAGCAGAGAACCTGTTGATGTTAAACTATCCGAAGTTGCCATGGCAACCAGACACCATCATCTACCTCGATCATAAAGAAACACGCCACTTAATTGAAAAGATCTGCAGTAAATTTTTTTTCGGAAAAGTGAATACCTATAACAACATCTCTCCATTAACTTCGAAGGTATTCGTGTCAGCTCAAGGCTTGTAGCTCCCACCAATGCTCAACAAGATACGTGTATTATGATAATTAGGGTTCATTCCGGAACTAGCTAGAATGTAACAAAAGGTTAGTTGAAAGTCAAGTTTTCCCTTACGACCAGAGCTTATTAGAAAATAATTTAAACTACAGAAGAACGACTTTTTCAAAGAAGGCGATGTAACAAGGTGTACAGACTAAAATAGATTGCCACTGAGATGTAGTTGTTAATTATGGATTTTGATATACTGACGACTTTTAACATATGATTGATAGAAGTCGTATAACAGAATTATATTAAATAATTCATATTTAATTATTTGTTACTTTGATTACTTAAGTGACTTGATTTAGAAACCAAGTCGAGCAACTTTATAAAAAATTATTTTATCCAAGCTTAGCATAGTTACATTTATAATGTTGCGAAGAATGAAGTTTTAATACCAATTTAAACGTATTTTTAAAATATTTTGATGATTCAGATACAGTTTAAGTTATATACTCAGATAATAGCATCATTAATTTTTATAACATGTAAGTTTTTTGTAGGGTTAAATTAGATGCTTGTCAAACGATTCCAAATATACTGTCATAATTGTTTTTATTGTCCTCGTGTCACGTACTCAAGAAATAATACTCCTGTTGCTCCCCAGTGACACAGCGGTACTTACAACGCTAGAAACCGGGTTTCGATACCCGTGGTGGGCAGAGCACAGATAGCTTATTGTGTAGCTTTGTACATAATTACAAACAAACAAACAATACTCCTGTTATCGAAATGACTAAAAAGTACACGTCGAAATGTGTTTTTAATAAATATCCCATGAATCTATTTTTGCAAAAAGAATATTCATATTAAAAATAGACATTCTAAATTATCCATGCTTTTAAAATATATAATCATTGTTCTAACCAACAGTGTCATAGAAGTTTAAGCCAATATTTATTAGTGTTTGTTTTTAACTTAACTTTAAGATAAGTCATGTAAAACAAAACACACATCCTCCTATAAGAACCGTTTGAAATGTGTTAAAACGCGTAAAAACATGCGACACATTATTATGTGTAAATAACCAGTCTGTTATCCCGTACATACTCAACACTGACAGCATTAAAATATCTTAAGTAAACTAGAAAGACAGTGTTATATATCTAATAATAACTCAAGTAAGAAAAATATACTTAACGCTTTTGTTTTTAATTTAATTGTATTGAAAATCGTAGCATTTGAAAACTCATCTATATTTGAATTTTCTTTATATATAAATATGATATAAAGATCTTGTTGCTTAAATCTGCTCTTTTTTTTTCTGTTATTTGATCCTTAGCCGTATTGTTATCAGTCTTCAGAAAGTTATTTAACTAGTATCTCTGCATTTTTTGTACGACTAGTATTGATAGAGTTATAACTATGTCATGTACTTGTAATGGGTACTTAATTAAATATTGAAGAGTTTGTCTGTTTTTGTCTAAAGTAAAAATATATTATGCATCTTGATTTAAAGCTAAACAAGGGACACACATGTGTGTGTAATGTACTAGTAATGGGTACATAATTAAATATTGAAGAGTTTGTCTGTTTTTGTTCAATAGTAAAAATATATTATGCATCTTGATTTAAAGCTAAACAAGGGACACACATGTGTGTGTAATGTACTAGTAATGGGTACTTAATTAAATATTGAAGAGTCTGTCTGTTTTTGTCTAAAGTAAAAATATATTATGCATCTTGATTTAAAGCTAAACAAGGGACACACATGTGTGTGTAATGTACTAGTAATGGGTACTTAATTAAATATTGAAGAGTCTGTCTGTTTTTGTCTAAAGTAAAAATATATTATGCATCTTGATTTAAAGCTAAACAAGGGACACACATGTCCCAGACTGATATTTTAAGAATTGATTGTACGTAATTGTTGTTAGAACGGATTTCTGTTGTGCGTATCTGTGCGTATCTTGCTTTTATAGAACAATACATTATTAGTTTTTCAAGGAAATATTTCGATTCGAAACACCTTGTATTCTGTTTTCAATTGTATATATTTGGTGAGAAAGTGTAATTTATGAAGAATATTTAAGTATTAATTACACTACATATAGAAATGTACAAAGAATGAAAAGTTTGACTTTAGATAAAGTGACGTAATACCTAGGGTAACGCTTGTTTTAGTATTACCCCATCTATATAATTACAACCTGCTGAGTACAGAAATATAAAACAATTCTAATGCAATAGACAAAAGTAAGTTATGAAGAGGAAGCTGACTGTGAACGATTCACAGACAACTTCTAAAGGAAAAGTTCATTCCTCAATTTTCTCATCACCTACTACGTTGCCCTCCAGTGGCACAGCGGTATGTCTGCGGACTTACAACGCTAGAATCCGGGTTTCGATACCCGTGGTGGGCAAAGCACAGATAGCATCGTGCTTAATTACAAACAAACCTACTCCGTTGATTATAGTGTCATACCAGCACGTTTACTGCAAGAACTTCCTGGATGTCCACAAGCATAATTTTATAATACAAACTGAACAATTAAATAGTTGTGAAACGGAAATTAATATATAATTTTAATTGGTCAAAACATTTCCCGATAGTTTTGTTCATAACTAATCTACCCCTGTCTATTTGGAATATAAAGTATTTGTTCGTAGACTTATGCCTGATTTGCTGCTTAACGTATGTATATTTAACTTTGATAATGTGTATTTGACACTTCAACTAAGTTGTCTGCTAGTAGTTTGTATGGATATTTATAAGCTTTTGTTGTTGTATTTAAGTGATATTTATATTTGTGTATTGGAAGTAAGACGTATGATATTAAACAGTTAATGGTAAAAACACCGTATGCACAGTGTATAAACAGTACATAAATCTATCAACAATAGTATATACCATCAATACTTTTCTTCATGACAAATTGTGGTTCAAGTATTTAATGGTGAACAAATTTATGTTCAAAAGGACTTTTGGACAATTAAACATATAGTTGTTATAACATACACAATACTTTTAAAATCACGTGCGATAAAGGTGATCGGGAAACTGTGTGGGTAGTTTAATGCATAAATGAAGATAATGGTGAATTAAATACAAAATATTTTCCCCAAACAAACAAGCCAAAAACTGTAGGAAAATTAATATGGTAATCAATCTTAACTGTAATACTTTAACCTAAGAATGTACACTGTATTGTATCTGACCAAAAGTAACATGGTGAATAGTTATAATGAAGTTAATAGTCGTTACACAAACACTGCTAACAAGATGAAAGATGTGTTTTGTTAAAAGGTTTCTTGGAAATATGAATATGTTAAGAATGGTATTATTGACAATGTTAAGGTGTTAGGAATGGTATTATTGACAATGTTAAGGTGTTAGGAATGGTATTATTGACAATATTAAGGTGTTAGGAATGGTATTATTGACAATGTTAAGGTGTTAGGAATGATATTATTGACAATGTTAAGGTGTTAGGAATGATATTATTGACAATGTTAAGGTGTTAGGAATGATATTATTGACAATGTTAAGGTGTTAGGAATGGTATTATTGACAATGTTAAGGTGTTAGGAATGGTATTATTGGAAATATCAGTATAATAAGAAGAGTTTTATGGGGAAATCATTATGATGGGAAGGATGTTACATGGAATCTCAATAAGATAGAAAGGGTTTTCAAGTAAAGGATGATATTTTAATGCTACAGTGATTTGCAGTTGTATGTTATACAAAATTATTCTGAAGGTACAGTTCCAATTTCGTATTACGTATTTAGAAAACTGGTCGTGTGTCTACATTATGATACTTCTGCTTTGTTTGTTCATTGAAAAATTTAAGATGAACAAGAGTACTCGTAGAAATAAATGTGTCACAGTGTAGTAAGTTTGTTTTCTTACATTTGTTGAGATTGAATGGCAAAACGTTTGAAACGTTCCTAAATAATATATATGTAGAAACATCATCTAGAAAATAGAGGTTTTCATTGTAGGCTATAAATGTATAGACCATAAAATTTCACTTAACGCTTTGAAATATCATAATTTGTCAAATGTAACATATTGGAAAACATATTCGTACAACACCGGACCATGGTATATATATATATAAATTCTAACACCTTGTATTGACTTCCCACTTAAAAACGATGTATGAAAAGATACGAAATCTACTAATATCAAATCAGTAAGTGTGCAAAAATCTTTCGAATAATAAATCAGAAGCCAAAGAAATATTACATACATTTATGAAAACCCAATGCACAAACATACAAAAATATTACAAGCTTATGAAATCATTTCAATTAAACGTAGCGATATATTTTGAAAGTCGATGTATAAAAAAAAACAATTAATGTTTTGACTGTGAAAACCAACAGGAATTCTAAAGCGGAGGAAGAAACTTTTACAAAATAACAAAAATATTATTTTTTTTTTGGAAGAAACAAAGAATGTACAAGTATTACTATTCGATATGGATGAAAAACAGTAAAACGTGACGGATAGATTGTCGACTACTCTTGTTGTGCCTTGAGACGTAAGTCCAGTTCGCACGTGGCGTTTATTGAACAAGCTCTTATAATAGATAAACATCGGAAACGAAAAACCAATCATGTGTTGGAAGAAAAGTATAATTTGGTCCTTAGAATGATTTACAACGGCTACGAGTTTCAATTTCAGTGATGCAATAAACACATCGCAATAAATCCTTTACTTCCTCTTTCACGCCGGGATAGTTTAATTTTTGTGCTTTAAATGTATTTCAAAAAGATTATTCATACTTCTACATATGTTTTAAGTTTGCAAACTATATATATGTATATAAATATAGCGAATTAAATAGTTATAAATAGAAAAATTAAACATCAAAGTAACAAATTTCATGACAGGCCAATAAATTTCAGGACAGACCAATTAAAAGCTTTATGTTTATAGGTAAGAAGATTAAAGCAAGCGTCACCCCCCTCTAGTGGCAAAGCGGTATGTTCGCGGACTTACAAGGCTCGAAACTGGGTTTCGATACCTGTGGTAGGCACAGAGAACAGATAGCCCACTGTGTAGCCTTGTGCTTAATTTCAAACAAGCAAGATCTCTCTGTTGGATTTTTTAGTATTTTAA